CTCAGGATGGACGGAGAAGTGGTGCCTCGATGCGCACCCGGGATCCGAACCCGGGCCACCAGCATCGCAGCGCGTGCACTTAATCACCAAGCCACAGGGCCGGCCTGTGAATCTACTTCTCCCCACAATTTCTACAAGGAAACAAATAGATAATCCACATTCTCTTTACACCTTCATGTATGGTTTTTATAGACTAATGCCATTTCTTTGAGAAATCTGCCAGATTTCAAGGGAAGTGAATGTTTAAGCAACACTGTTTAGGTTTTTTCTGCTTAGCTGTTTTATTGCTGAAAACATTTAATACAGTTCCCTAGCTAGAAGAATCATAAAGAAATGCTCTTTCTGACTGTGTTTCTGATAGTGCTGACTGAATTAGAAGTAGTGGGTGGGGATGTCTTAAAAGATTTTTTTTGAGGTTTCTTTGATTGGTGGTACTGATTGTATGTTTAAATGAAATTGGACAAAGTTTGCACATTTGTGCATAGGGAATAAAGGTAATGGTAAGAATATGTAATCTATTCAGCTTTTAATCCCTCACTGAGACATTGGAGATACATTTCTTAATTTCTGAAGACCATTTTCTAACATAAGCTGAAATAAGACTGTGATGAGTGAGGACTTTGCTTTTAGCAAAGCAGAAGGATTTTGACTGATTATTTTATTCAGGAGATTGTTTCTGACTTCAAGTTAAAATACCACTACTTATGTATGAACTGTTTCCAGCCATAAACTATTGCTCTCAAGTGAAATAAGAACACATTTTTGATGAATGAGAGCAGCATTTCTTAGTTCATCTTGAGTCCAGTGTTGTTTCTGGCTTTTCAAAGTAGATCATGAAAAATTTCAACGGCAGGCACTTTGGTGAACTTTCTAGGCCCAAGCAGGTCTCCTTGGCCCCCTGTGAAGTTACCCAGCATCAGTCAACTCTGGGCTCTTCATTGCTGCTACTGCGATCATCCTCAGCTATAGCAAAGACTATGTACTCAGTTGCTTTGTGGTTTTGGTTGCAGCAATAGGAAATGCCTTTGCAGTCCTGAGCAATCCTGACAAGAGACTCCGCTACGATGAATATGGAGATGAACAGGTGATTTTCACTGCCCCTCGAGCCAGACCTTATAATTATTACAGAGACATGGAAGCTGACATCACTCCAGAAGAGCTATTCAACGTCTTCTTTGGAGGACATTTTCCTACAGGTTAGTATCCCAAAATTATTGTTTAAAATTTTATATATATTTATATATGGCTCTCAACAAGATTCTGTTTGAGGATCTGAATAGAGGGACCATGGTATGGTGGAAACAGCAAGAATTTGGAATCAAATGACCTGGAGTGTGAGGCAAGCTTCAGCCTCCAGCTGGGCATGATTTTGACTAAATCACTAGTATCTCTGATCCTGTTTCCTCACCTGAAGAATGGGGCTGATAATATCTACCTCACAGTGCTACTGTGAGGATTAGATATTTTTAAGTGCTTTATAAATAAGTAGCAAAATGCCTATTATTGTCATTATTGCAAAATAGCAGCTTTATAAAGATAAAAGTTAGAAAAGTACCCCCAGAGAGTTGGAAGTTGGGATAATTAAATGCCCAGGAAGTAAACTGAATTTTATGAGTTGCTATTAAAGATACTAGTGACATAATCTGATATTGGGCTAGGAAGTAGACATGATCCTGTCAGACAGGATTCATGGCCCAAATGCTCTTTCTTTTTTTTTTTCTGAGAAAGATTCTCCCTGAGCTAACATCTGTTGCCAATCTTCTTCTTCTTCTTCTTCTTTTTTTTTTTTTTGTGAGGAAGATCAGCCCTGAGCTAACATCCATGCCAATCTTCCTCTTTTTTTGCTGAGGAAGACTGGCCCTGGGCTAACATCTGTGCCCATCTTCCTCCACTTTATATGGGACGCCGCCACAGCATGGACTGACAAGCGGTGCGTCAGTGCGCACCCGGGATCTGAACCCGGGCCACCAGCAGCAGAGTGCGTGCACTTAACCGCTACGCCACAGGGCCGGCCCAATCTTCCTGTTTTTTTGCTTGAGGAAGATTAGCCCTAAGCTAACACTTGCGCCAATCTCCCTCTATTTTTATATGTGGGTTGCTGCCACAACATGGTTGGCGAGTGGCGTAGGTCCACGCCCAGGATCTGAACCCACAAACCAGGACCACCGAAGTGGAGCACGTGGAACTTGAACCACTCCACCATGGGGCCAGCCCCCAAATGCTGTTTCTTTTCTAGCCTTTGAGGGTTCTCTCACTCACTACTTACAAAAGACTATTTAAATAAAGGCAGGAGAACTAAGCATGTTCCATTTCCATCTGGTTCCCTTGCTTACCTACTGTCTTATTTTTCTACTGGGTAAAATGGGAAAATTCTCTACCCTCAGAGAATCTGTTTAGGAGCAAGGACCTTGGAAAAGGCAAGGAAGGAGTGTTTGCCATATCTCATACTAAGTATTTTTCTTTCTTTTCCAGGAAATATTCATATGTTTTCAAACGTGACAGATGACACCCACTATTATCGCCGGTGGCACCGACATGAGAGGATGCAGACACAAAAGGAAGAGGAGGAAGATAAACCTCAGGTACCCAGGGAGGACAGGAGAACTGCTGCTCATAAACACTTGTACTAAGCTGACCTTTCTGGCGTATGATCAGGTTTTAGAAGTTCAACTTGAGATATGTCGCTAAAATGCGCTTTAGGAAAGTAGAGGCTAGTAAGAAGAGCTGGAAAATTGACCCAAATAGGCCAGAATGGTACCCCCCTTCCCCGCCCATTCTTTGGTGGCTCTCAGGGGATCTCAGATCCCTTGTGGGGCTGTCTTGATCAAGGTTTTCTTTTTTATGTGTGTGAGGAATATCAGCCCTGAGCTAACATCTGTGCCTATCCTCCTCTTTTTTGCTGAGGAAGACTGGCCCTGGGCTAACATCCGTGCCCATCTTCCTCCACTTTTTATGGGACACCGCCACACCATGGCCTGACAGGCGGTACATCGGTGCCCGCCCGGGATCCGAACCCGGGCCGCCAGCAGTGGAGCGCGCGCGCTTAACTGCTACACCACAGGGCCGGCCCCAAGGTTTTCTTGACTGCAGAAAATAGGAACTCCTTTCAAAATATTCAGAACTAACGGGGGTTTAAGGTAAAGGATCCAGGGAGTCTCATGAAGCTCAAGGGTAGGAAGCACAACTGGGCCTCATGACAGACAAGAACCAAGAACTGGGGTGCTATCAGGCACCCACACAGCTGTGCTCTCCATGATTGTTTGGGGCCAGATTGTCTCCAGTTTTCCTGCCTCCCTGCATCTGCTTTGTTCTCTCTAAGCAGCCTGGCTTCTCCTACTTCCCCTTGCAAATGGCCAGTCCACAGTGCCTAAGAGTGTGTGTCCTTTCTTCAAGGGACTGCCTAGCAGTGAACAGTGATGAATCTCAATCCCAAATTCCTAAGAGGGAGAATGTGTTTATCCCTGCTAGAGTTAGATGTCCCCCGGTCCATTCAGCTGTAGCCAAGGCAACAGAGTTGCATAATACTAATATGGCCCCATGAGAGTCACAGTCTGGGCAGACTCACCCACAGGTGTCTCCTTCTTTGGTCTTAGAAAAGGAGGCTGCAGGAGAATTACTGGGTGTCAATCCAGGTTGTGGGTGGGCCTCCTTCAGCCTTCTCAGCAGAGAGAACAAGAGTTGTTTGGTACCTCTTAGCAGAAAGTACAGCTTTCTCAGAAAACACATGGGCTTTGTGCAATGCATTGGTAATTTGTATTTTCTTTGGGAAAACTATCTTATTTTCAATAAGCTTTATAGTGATGAAGAACACTTACACCAAATATTTTTTCTTTTTCAGACTACATATTCTGCATTCATTCAGTTACTTCCAGTTCTGGTGATTGTGATTATATCTGTCATTACTCAGCTACTAGCTACTAATCCCCCATATAGTCTATTCTATAAATCGTAAGTCAAATATTTATAAATCTTTCTTAACAGTATGGAGGGTGAAAGACTTGTAGGTTTTGATGGTACATCACTAACATTTCATTTCACCTTTTGTTGTAGAAAACACTGATTTTGTGTTTAAAGGAACAGCTGGGTGGTAATAGTGCAGAGACTCAAAAATACTGTAGGCAAGTTTCCTGTGCTCTCAGGACATGGATTGTTTTGTTCTACAGCGACATCATCTGGTCAGTTGCAGAACTGCAACAACTGGTTTCTGAAGGATTAATAGAATAATTCCAGGTTCAAATTAAATCCTTATCACACCGTGTTAGAGTTAGAAAGGACCCTATTGAGCTTGTGATAGGATTGCTGGACCCCTGTGGGTCTGGGAACATAGTAACTGAGATCCAGTGATTGTTTTCAATTTAAGAAATTGCAAGAATAGGACATTTATTCATGATAAGGCTGCATAGTCAAACCATAGTATCATATTTCTTTGCTTTTGCTGAAAATATAGAAATTCATTATAATGTTTGTATTGCATGAAAATTATGAGATCTGATAGGATTTTTTTTATTTCTTCAATTAATTATTTCAATTAATTCAGTTCTCCAAGTTTGGTCCCCAGACCAGCATCATTAGCATCAACTGGCAACATGTTAGAAATGCAGACTCTTAGGCCTCACTCCACATCTATTGAATCAGAAACTCTGTGGGTGACAACCAGCAATCTGAGTTTTCACAAGCCCTCCAGATAACTCTAGTCCATACTAAAGTTTGAGAATCACTGGATTAATTATTTTTTTAATTAATAATAAGAAATAAGTCATTACTCATTATTATAGTTTAGTAGACAGAAACCTTCCAAAATGTGGAATCCATGGGGCAATACATAACAGGAAGAGTTTTTGTTGGTGATCACTGTGGAGTGAAGACTATCATTCTAGATCAATATCTTCATTTTACAGAGAGGAGAGCTGAGACTCAGAGGGAGGATATTGCTCTCAGGTCACGCTGACCTGATTCCCTCTATTTCCCAACTTCCTGTGTTTCTCCATATGCTACAGCTAGCTCCTTTCCTGTCAGGCCACTGAGGCAGGCAGGAACCTGCCCTGATAACACCTTCCCAGAGACAGGTGGGAGCAGTCATGGCCTGAGCTCTTAGACATTTAGCAAGATCCCTAAGTCGGGAGATCAAAGGAGAAAGCTGAGAAAAGGTCAAATATAACTCATTTGAGATGGAATTTGTCCAGTTTGAACAAAATCAGCTCGGATTTTGCACATTATTGTCACATTGTTTTATTTATTTATTTTTTTTCCTTTTTTGTGAGGAGATCAGCCCTGTGCTAACATCTGCCAATCCTCCTCGTTTTTTGCTGAGGAAGACGGGCCCTGGGCTAACATCCGTGCCCATCTTCCTCCACTTTATATGGGACACCGCCACAGCATGGCTTGCCAAGCAGTGCGTCGGTGCACGCCTGGGATCTGAACTGGCGAACCCCGGGCTGCTGCAGCGGAGCGTGTGCACTTAACTGCTTGCGCCACCGGGCCGGCCTGTCACATTGTTTTAACTTGAGTTTGCACTCCCTTCTATACTTTCTTATGGTTAGAATTTAGTTAACCCAGACCTGTTAATGCTTCTGAGCACCAGATACCATTGGATATCTTAGACCCACAGAGAGTTAACCCAGAAGTATCACTGAAATCCATTTTTTTGTGTGTGTATGAGGAAGATCAGCCCTGAGCTAACATCCTTGCTAATCCTCCTCTTTTTGCTGAGGAAGACCAGCTCTGAGCTAACATCTATTGCCAATCCTCCTCCTTTTTTTCCCCCACAGCCCCAGTAGATAGTTGTATGTCATAGTTGCACATCCTTCTGGTTGCTGTATGTGGGACACGGCCTCAGCATGGCCAGAGAAGCGGTGCGTCGGTGCGCGCCCGGGATCCGAACCCCGGCCACCAGTAGCAGAGCGCACGCACTTAACCGCTAAGCCACCGGGCCGGCCCATCACTGAAATCTTTTGTCTGAGTTTTTTTGCAGTTCTGACTTAGCAGCTGTGTGTGAAGTGCTTTTTATCATGTCCTAAAATTGGTGCTAAGTTGGTATAAGCTATCGGGTTATTTGTAAATAGTTTACTGTAACAATCAGTTCATCCAACCAGCATTTACCAATAGCCTATTCTGTGCCGGGTACCAGGCTAGGTCTCACACAATATACAAATTGTTTTTCTAAGCATTCAGCATTCTTCTTTTAGCATAGAAAGCAGTATTAGAGAGGTGAATCCTTTAAGATAATAAAGTAAATATGTTGTAGCTGAATCTACACTATTTACATGCTCACGTAATAGCGATAATGACGTTACACTTACTGCTTTGCTAGAGAAATAATAAATGTTAGATGTATTAGAAAATGAAATTTGCATCTGCCCTATGGAGAGGTGATTGTGATAATGATATCTGTGAAGCCAGTGCTAAGGCTGATATTGCCAAATATAACAAGCTTCACTGAGCTTCTCTCTCTTTGTTTCAGGACCTTGGGCTACACCATTTCTAGAGAAACCCAGAACATGCAGGTGCCTTACTTTGTGGATAAAAACTTTGACAAGGCCTACAGGGGAGCATCTCTGCGTGACCTGGAGAAGACGATAGAGAAGGATTACATTGACTACATCCAGACAAGTTGTTGGAAGGAGAAACAACAAAGTAAGATGCTGTAAAAGAGGCTTTAGCTGGTAGCCGTGCTTCCAACCTGAGGCATCCCCAGCATCCTGATCCCTCCTCTCTCCTTGTTTGAGTCGCACATGTTCATGTGAACAGAGACAGGACAGAGGCCCTTCAGGATACTACCAAAAAAGGAGAAGTTTATTGACAGGATACATGTGGCCAGGACTTGGAAATCTTAGGAACTTAGGCAGCACTAGTTGCCAATCTGTCTGTCTTTGAGTCTCTACCTCTTCTCTGCCTGTCTGCCTCTCTCTCTGCCAATTGCCTTCCTTTGCTTCTTCAAGTTCTCCTCCTTCATAACCTTGTTTTGCCATGGTTTATTTGGGTTCCAATCTCCCAGCAGCTCTCCCAGCTTCCCCAGCCCCACCAGTCATTGGCCCCTTTGTACATCACAAGCCTCCTCTTTAAGTTGTAGCTGGTTTGGTCCATAGTTTCTTAACTCCACATTCCCTAGAAGGAAATCTGATCCAGCCTAACTTTTTGAGCCAGACCCAAGGTTCATAGGTCGTTGGTATTGAGTTAGGTGCCCCCTTTCCTCCCCTCCAGTTGGCTGTGGCCACACAGAACAAAAGTGACCTTCCCTAGGTCTGCCCCTTCAGTAAGGGTGGGGGTGAGCAGACCTTCCACTCTGTTTCTCTCTCTAGAGACAAGGCAGGTGACAGTGTCTGCCACTTGTCTTACAACTCCAGTGCATGTTAATGGGGAGTGCTGGTAGCAAGGATAGCCCTGTCTCTCAGCCAACAGCGTCACTTTTCGTTCCACTTGAATTCAACACACTCACACACACACACACCCGTTAGTAACCATCTTATAAAACATGGCTTTGGTTAATTTTTAAAAAGCAAACTCTAACTCATTTTTTTAAACCTTATTACTGGGTATTATTAAACATCTAACGGTGTCTGGTAAAATTAGCTCTTCAGTCACAGTGCTGCTAAGTCCTTGCTGACCCATCATGCATCCCAACCCCACCCCAGGTTAATCTCTCCTTCCTCTGTCTTCTTAAAGCACTTGGTTCATCCTGTGAACACAGTACTGCTCTCACAGTGTTAGTGTTCCGTATTTACATGTCAGTCTCCCTGCTGGACTGTGGGCTCTCTGAGGACAAGAATCATGTCTTATTAATTTTGTGTCCCAGGCCCCTGGCACAGTCCTTGCTTCAGAACAGGTGCTCAACAAATGTCTTTTGAAGAGAGGATTCTCAGGACTGGAAAACAATGAAAATGCTGAGGATTAGGAATCACAGAGCAGAGTTAGTGTCTTAACCTTAGCCCTTAGGGATCTTGTCTCTGCCCTCTACTTCTGTAGGGCAAAGCCCAGCTGAATTCTCAGGTGCATTAGGGGCTTGGTGGGCAATGACTCAGGGATGTAACAGGGAATTAAGCAGGAGGAAGAAGTTGCTTTTTTTATCAAAAAAACTGAGGAGTCTGGAAGTACCCTATATCATGTTAAACTAAGTTTAGCAAGTTTCAAAAATGAGGAAAGAATTCTAGAGCAAGATAAACGCCTTAGACTAAAAGGCAGTATATATGTGGATCCAAATCAGGTGAAGGCAACAGTGTGTGTCCTAAAAGTCGCCATTGTTTTGGGACGTGAGAGGGTTTTGAGTTTGTTGCTTTTTGCAAGAACTGGATGAAAATCTGCATTTCACATTCTTCAAACACACACACACACACACACACACACACACACACACACACACCCAGCTGGAACTGTGCGAAGAGCTCATGGTAAAGATTACACCTAAGGTGGCTTCTAGGCTTTTGTCCCCATCCCCATGAGGCCTAGTTTCAGGGCTTTGGCACTCTCCAGGTATAAATAAAAATCCAGTGGGTAAGCATCATGCATGTACCCACAAGTTCCAAACAGGGGCTTATCGGCACACACCCTTTAAAAATCTATTTCTGGCGTTTAAGGATGGTGGCTGTCCGGAGCCTCCACACAACCCAAGTGCCATTTGAGAACAAGTAGCACCTGCCCTCCAGATCCAGCAGCAAGTGCAGCCAACAAGGTTAAATTTAGCACTTGGAGGTTGTAAAAAATAAACCCACTTGAGAACAAAGTTTACTCTTGGCAAAATACCAAATGGAAACTGTTTTTAGCCAAGTTTGCCATTGCCTTTTTAAATCTTTTGTTCATTTCTTTTCTTTCTTCTTCCTTAGAATGCTTAACCTAAGTGAACTTCTATAATCCTAGACTATGAACACTAATTGCCCTATTTACTCCTTCATAGCTGCATCTAGATAATAAACCTGATGCTAGGGGAAGTCGCCAGGCCACTGGGCTGGGATGGACAAAAGTAACAGGCAGGAACTGCCTCCTGGCCTGGCTGAGCTGAGCTGAGATCCTGGCCCTGCCTCCCAGGGGAACACTTCTTTCCATGTCCTGGAGCAGGGTAGCAGAGTGGGTAGAAGCTTAAGCTTTGAAATGAGGATAAAATGAACTTCCTCTTAGAGAGGCTGTATGGATTATAGAAGATGGTATGGATATAATGCTTAGCATGGTGTCTGGCACGTAGTAAGTACCTGGTTCCTGGTAGGGTCCAGGCCTTGCTTGGCCTTGCTATACTGGATGCAGTGCTGTCTCATGGGGCTGGATCATGAGGGTGGTTGGGATCTGTTGGGGTCTTCTAGCTGTCAAGAGTCCCATCTGGGCTCTTTTGCAGAGTGTTCTTGGGAGAAGCTCTGGGACTTGCTTCTCTTGGCAATTTCCCTGAGTCAGTTTACCTTGAAGCCTCAATGATCTGTCCATCTATTACACTGGCATTCAGGGCAAGGGAAACATTTTGCAAAGAAGAAAAGATGGTCTCTTGATCCTGCCCCTCCCAAAGATTTTTTTTCTTTTTTTTACTTAGAAGTTATTGAATATTAACAGAACTTGTCAAAAGTAACATATTCATTGAGTTGACCTTTTGCTCATTGCAGAGCAAAGGGATTCATTGGCAGTTTAGAGAGAAGTTTGTCTAAGCATGGTAGTGGGGATGTGGGTCTTGGTTCCTTGAAACACGGACCTGGTACAAAGTCATTGCTGTGGAGCAGGGGTCTCAATCTCTGAAGCATTGATACCTGGTTTCAGTGAACTTTATGAAAAGCAATGTGATGTTTTATGAAAAGCATTCATATATGTGCTTTTATCTTTCAACAGCTTGTTACAGTGGTCATCAATGTAGAAAATAGTAAAAATCATTAGCCCTTAATGTTTTCTGGAGTGAGATTTCAGGCAATGGGGCATTTAGATAAGCCCAGTAAACAAAAAACCTAAGGAAAAGCAAAGCCACAGAATCTGTTCCATATAACTATGGGTATAACTGTGACTCCAGAGGACCAAAGGCATAGAATGATTTTATAGAGGCCTCCTGAACAGGTTTCCCACATGCCAGAGAAATGGAGTTAGTGCTGAGCTCTGGGCAGGAGGCAGGAGCAGAGGGCTTTGTGTGTGGCACATGATCCTCTATGAAGCTGCATCACCCGCAAGGATGGCTGTGCCAAGGCAAGCTCTGGCGAGCAGGCCCTGCAGGCACCCGCGCCAAGGGGTGAGAGCACATTGTTCTGGAGCCTAGGAGACCCATTGCTTGCCAAGCAACTGCTGAGCTAGGGTCCCAGCTCTGAGCGCCATTGTAGAGGGAGGGTTTTCATGCATACACACCCCTCACCCTGTAGTCTTACACTTCATGTACACTTTGGGCCTTACTTGATGTAAATAGAATCATTGTGAGCAGAAATGCCAGGCAGTGTTTTGTCTTGATAGAAACTTATTCAGAAACCAATGCCCACTGTTCTCCTAGGCTAAGTATAATTCTTGTTTCCAGGCAGTTTGCTGATTAATCAAACAGGTGCCTCTCACTCCACCAAGAAAAACAAAATCTGTCAGCAAGATGATTAAGAATGGATAGACATATTTCAAAATGGTTAAAATAGCATTTTTACAAGAAAGGTCCTTTAAACATTGAGTAGCTGCCTGCTGTTGGCGAGTTTCAGAAGCCACACAGCCCATCCAAGCCTGCCATCCTGTTAATACACAACACATCTCTGTAGGTGCTTTTCAGGCATTCCCTCCTGAGAATGTTTCTGAAACTTTACAAAAGAATAAAAAATAAAGGCAGCCAAACCACCGTTGAGTCAGGGAAGACAGCAGAGATTACATTCTAGTTAAAAATAGAATGACTTTCTCCACCATGAAGAGAAAATGAAATTCATTTAGTCAAGGAGACAGAGGTCACCAGATCCAGATGATTTCACTTTTAAAAGAGCCCAGCTGCCTTTGGCCTTTGAGTTAGGGACCCCACATGTGGTGAGGGAATGAAGAAAGCTGCCAGCAACCTGGCCTTCTATAGAGGGCATACCCAGCGGAGGAGGCTCTGCGTCAGTTAGCACGTATGAGTTATGATCCCACCATGCAGGGGAAAGCATGAAGCAGCTGTCTTTGTTTCAGATGACAGGGACAGGCAATTGGACTCCATTCTCTCCCAACTGCCATCTGAATCCCATTCGTAGGAAAGCCATGAAACAGAGTCTCCTCTTACTGCACACGTGCAGGTTTCCTAAGTCTGGTGCCAAATGTTCTATTGATAAGAACTAAGTCCAGTGCTTTTATAATAGAGCATAGATATTGCAGGACTCCGGGATCACAGGTGTCCTTTAATCCTCAGCACCTGGTGTAGTGTAGCTGCCTGATAGTCTTGAATAAATGAGTTTCTTAATTTAATTGAAAGAGAAAGCATTAAGTAAAGTAAAAGGAGCTTTGATTCCAGAAATATTGAAATGAAACGAAGAAGCTCAACTCTCTTGATTAATTGGTTACTTCTTTTATCTTTCAGAGTCGGAGTTGACAAATTTGGCAGGATTATACAGAGATGAACGATTGAAACAGAAAGCAGAGTCGCTGAAACTTGAAAACTGTGAAAAACTTTCCAAACTTATTGGCCTGCGCAGAGGTGGCTGAGAGGATGGTAGTCCTGTGCAGGGTTGGGGTTTTGCTACTTGTTACTATTTATGTTCCTAATTCCATTTTATAATACAAAATTAGGAAATGACGAACATTTTACAATTTGCTAATGTTGTTTGGTGGGCAGAGTTGAAGGCGCTTGAGCATGGAGCCAGACTTGTCATCAGAGGATCCTTCCTGGGGATTAGCTCCGGGGGCCAGGAACAGTTCATCTAAACTGAATTAATGGCAAAGCATTTGATTCAGCCCCCCTGTTCCATGCCCACCGTGCCTCGAAGAATGTAGTTCAGGGCATCCCACAGCAGATTCATGTTTTCTTCCTTCTTCCCTTCTCCAGTGAAGTCTCAATACCCAGTCATTCCTAGGCGTAGCCAAAGCAGCTTAACATTAGTTGTTTACAATGTGCACCAAGAATTACATCTCTCCCTTATTAGAGTCATCATCTCCCCTAGAATTCAGCCTTTGGAACATGCTGCTAGTCAGCTTTCTATTTTCTAAGGGGAATGTGGTGAAAGGTAAACTATTGTAGTCAATAGTTTTCTATTTGCCTAATCTCTGTTCAGAGTTACTAGCATTAACAAACTGCCTGATTTGAGTTTCTTTTACTTCCTTAACCCTCTCTCTTATAGAGGGTCCAGAAATTAAAAGCTATTGAGTGAAACAGTTCAATGGACAACTCAGCAGCAGGAAGCAGGGGCCGGGGTGAAGACAAAATGCAAGACTGAGTCTCAGCTTCTCAGTACAGGTTTCCAGTCCATCATAGAACCCAGAGAATGTTCTTTTTGTCATTTCCCCTTGCAGCATCACACTTGAGCTGAGTCCCTACACCCCACAGAGGTACAGTGGTCAGACTTAAGAGGAGGCATTGCCAGCCAAGTGGGCTATTTGCTCAAGCTTAGAGATAGAAGAGAAAGACTCTCTTTCCGTGGCTATGGGGGTCTGGTCTTGGCCCCAGCAGTCACTTTGTTTAACCCAGTGCCCTGTAGTTTGTGATACAAGATGCTTTTCCACGTAGTCAACATCTATTAAGTGCCTCGTATGAAGCAGGGACTCTCACATATATTTTCTTACTTTAGCCTCCTCACAACTCTGTAAAGTAGACATGTTATCCCTGTTTTTATGAATGAGAACTTTGGCCCAGAGAGGATGAATGGTTGACCTGGGTCGCACAACTGGTAGTGGCAGACCTAGATGGTAGGCTGATTATCAAGTAGAAAGTGTGAGATCATCCCATTTCTCAGGTGATTCTAGTCAGATTGATAAAGCAGGATCTTTCCCAAGGATGTCCCTGTCCCCCCTGACCCTGTGACCCTGTATCCTTTCAATGGCAGTCCTGCATCCACTCAGGACGTCTTCCCCCTGGTCTTTAGGAAGGAAGACCCTCTCTACACCAATTCTGTATACAAAACAAGAGGTTCCTCAAAGGCAAGCAGCCCTTCCCACTGGCGACAAAGAAGTGGTAAGTTGTTGCCTGGGCTACATGATTCTGGGCCTTCATGCGAAGGCAAGCTACCAGGATCGAGCTGTCTTGAGTATCATGAACCTGAACCTGGAAGGATTAGCAGGGGACTGTAGTCTACCCTCTATGTTTTCTTCAGGATAGAAGAAAAGTTCCTGTTGGAAGGAAAGTCTACCTTAAAACTGATTCCCAAAGTAGAGTTTCTCCTTTCAGATGCATAGCTACGATTTTGGCAGACATGTCTAGCATGGTTCAACATGTGGGCTTTCCATAGGGTTAGGAGATGGGTCCAGAGGTAAAGAGTGGAGCTTTGGTGGCTGTAGGAAACAACTGCCTAGCTGTGTGGAGGAGGGGAAGCTCCAGAGATGGCCAGATTTTGCTGCCCAAGTAAGTTTATCCTCCTGGTTTTCGGGGGCTTCCTTGATCCCCTGTGAGTGACTAAGAGGATTTAGTCTATAAAATGTGCCTGTGAGCCAAGCAGGCTTATGGGAAGTTTTCCTATACACACAAAAATCAAAGCTCTCCTCTTCCCAACACCAACCTCTGCTAGAAAATGGGCCATAATTAAATTGGCTTGACAGCTTAAAAGACCCAGCTCTAGAAACCCATGAATAGCGTAGTCACACATTTTATGGATTTCAAGGCAGAGATGAGTTATCTGTGATGATACTAAATAGAGGCAATGCTAACCAACTCCATTAAATGTCAAGTCTATTGTGTGTGTTTATAGCATTGATGGTACTGTTTTATTTATTACCTAATAGACCACAACACTCACATCTGGTTTTCCTCCAGGGAATGGTATTTGCTTTTGGTTGAAGGATAGTTTATTTGGTACAGTCCAGAATATTGTTAAACTATAATTTCCTGGGTTATATTTTAGATGGATTGTCTGCATGGTGGTAAAATAAGCGTTTTCCTCTTGGCTACATTCTTTGGAGGGTTTCCTGACCATATATAAACTCTTTAGGTAAGGCTTATTCTTGCTGTCAGACTTGGCGTGCAGCTCTAGACCATTTCTGTGAGCATTAATGCAGATTGGAGACGTGTGATAGGAGTGGGGCTAAGAACTAGGGCTTGAGGCTCAAGCAGAAACTAAGCTCGCATTCATTAGAAGGAAAGTGCTCTGTGCACTGCATGATCAGCAGTGAGGAGGGGAAGATGAAAATCCTTCTCACCACAAACAACACTGCAGCTTGAAGGAATCTGTGTCCCCAGATTAGTAACATTGGGGTTCATCTGCTCAAACCAGAAAACTTCTGAACTTCCTTGATCAGGCTTAACAGCTTGGGAGAAGTGACCAATAAGAAAATGCCATTGCTATGCTTTCTGTTGGAAACTATTAGAAATTAACACTGAACTCCAAACCCCACTGGAACATGGAATCCAGCAGCCTGGCCAAGCTATGTGTTATTCTCATTTTCGTCCTCACACTCAGGACTGGCTTTGTGAGGAGGCACTGTTGGATTCCAGAAGCTTTCTGTTACAAGTGGCCACACACACAAGTTCATTGTCTCTGCATGCACTCTTCCTCACAGGAACTGGCACTTAATTAGTATTTATTTTGGATTTATTTAAGATGTAAGCTTAGTGTCCTACTATGTGTATTTTTGGAAAGGGCCAAGTTACTACACAGCTTATTTTTTGAGCTTGCCATCATTGATACCTCGTGCAGTGACCACCAAGTAACTATATACCCATGTGTTAGATATTGATTACATGATTTGCATCACACTCAGTATTTAGAATTAAAGATGTGAATGTTCTCTGACCAGAGCCAGGTTTTACACAAATGGAATCAACTCCTGGTGGAGTATGAATCCTGAAAATCTGGTCACCTGATCCACTGCATCTGGATTGAGTGTATTTTAACAGAGAAGGAAATTAAACGATTTTGTATAAAAAGAATGGCTTTTTATTTTTCCTTTGTTCTTTTACCTTTGTCCATGGCACCCTTGGGCACTGCATATTGCCTGACTCCTTTGGAGCCACTTAGGACTAGAGAAGGTATTGACCTCTGCTCCAGTCTTCCCTCATCCATCAGCGGAATTATTGGTTTCTAGAACAATAGACAGCATTGGTGGTATCACCAATTCCATATTTATTTTCTATCAAATAATAGCAGCTGCAGCATATTAGAGCCAATATACAGATCAACTCTACTTAGCATCTGAAAATCATGTGTTATCCCAAGTTCCTTGCTGGCTTTGTTCCTAATTGCCCATATTTAGGAAAGTCTTCGTTTAAAAATACAGTACATGGATGGCCGGGACGGTGCTGAGGGTCGCCGGGCGCCGGCTCAGCCGGCACAGCGGGTCTGGAGCCCCCCTCCTCCTGCGGCAGATGTTTGAGCCCAAGAGCTGCACCTACACGTACCTCCTCGGTGACAGAGAGTCCCGAGAGGCCATTCTCATCGACCCTGTTCTGGAGACAGCGCCTCGGGATGCCCAGTTGGTCAAGGAACTGGGGCTGCGGCTGCTGTATGCTGTGAATACTCACTGCCACGCGGACCACATTACGGGCTCGGGGTTGCTGCGATCCCTACTCCCCGGCTGCCAGTCTGTCATCTCCCGCCTTAGTGGGGCCCAGGCTGACGTGCACATTGAGGATGGAGACTCCATCCGCTTCGGGCGCTTCGCCGTGGAGACCCGGGCCAGCCCTGGCCACACCCCGGGCTGTGTCACCTTCGTCCTGAATGACCACAGCATGGCCTTCACTGGAGACGCCCTGCTCATCCGAGGGTGTGGGCGGACAGACTTCCAGCAAGGCTGTGCTAAGACCTTGTACCACTCGGTTCACGAAAAGATCTTCACGCTTCCAGGAGACTGTCTGGTCTACCCTGCTCATGATTACCATGGGCTCACAGTGTCCACTGTGGAGGAGGAGCGGACTCTGAACCCTCGGCTCACCCTCAGCTGTGAGGAGTTTGTCAAAGTCATGGACAACCTGAACTTGCCCAAGCCTGAGCAGATAGGTGAGCAGTTGGGGGCCTGGACTCCTGGGTCTGAGGGAGGAGGTGCTGGGGGCCTGGACCCCTGGGTCTGAGGGAGGAGAGGGCTCAGGGTCAGAACTCTAGTTTCCCAAAGAAGAAGGGCTCTTAAGATTTCTGGGTCCCCAGTGAGGGGCTCTCCTGGGGAGCCCTAGTTTCACCCTTGGTTTCTTCCTTTCAGACGTTGCTGTTCCAGCTAACCTGCGCTGTGGGGTCCAGACACCCCCTTCCTGACCAGGTCTCTGTTGGTGCTCATATCCATTAAGAATGCACTAGGTGGGGTGCGGGGAGAGGTTTCATCACTGGAGCCTCTCTCCTCTTCCCCTCCCTCACCAGCCCCTCGAACTTCTTAAATAAAAATCTTTTTTTTTTTTTGCTCCAAATCTGTCTTCTGTCTGTTTTCTGGGGAACCAGGTGGGTTTCTGGGCTGAGGTGCCTGGGGCTAGTTCTGGTCCCTGGAGAGACCAGGGAGTGGGCCAAGGTGAAG